CGTCTTGATGAGCTGATTCCAATGAGCTATAGATCGTCTTGATTGGATCAGTAGATAGCGAGATATTCTTAAATTACTATAATTATTCAAATTTAAGAGCGTAAACTTTTGTAATATTACGTTTTTAGTGTAATATTTCGAAATTTTACACCACCTTCGAAATATTACACTAAATTACGCCTAAACAAATTTCCTGATGTAGTATATTATATTATTACAGTAAAGTATAGTACCATACCTTTAGTAGTATTATAAAGTAATTACTAAAATAAGACCATTTCTTTAAAATATAATAGTGGTCTTGCTTAAAAGCAGGATTCTGAAACTTTTAATAACTTTTTAAGAAATATTAAAAAAATACCATAACCCTTTATTAAAATATGCAACTTAATTGTATATACTAATTTACTATGGTACAGTCTAATTTATACTAATCCTTGTATCTTTATGTTATTAGTAATAGTATTTGCAGTAAAATTTCTGTAATCAGTATACATGCTACCCAAATTATGGGATGCCATAATTATAATTTGGGATGCCATAATTCATTCGGTTTATATATAATTTACTATGTAAAGTGCCAAAATAATTTGGGATGCCATAATTGAATTTGGGATTTTACTTATAATTACGGCAGTCCAAAATAATTTGGGTGGCATGTATAGTAATCAGCAGAATTGAACCTATGACCTCACCTAAAAGAAATAAATTAAATAAATTAATTAAATTGAAAAAATTGAAAAAATTAAAAAATTAAAAAAATTGAGTAATAATACATAATAGTAATTTATTTAATTTAATATTTTATATATTTTATATAGAAATAATGTATTTACCGCACCCTGTATTACAAATTTATATATATTTTTATGTTTATCATTTGCCATTTTAAGGGGGGTGCGGTGTATAAACTAAAGATCGATATAAACAATTTACAAAAAAGGAAGGATGCGTTGTAATGCAGGGTGTGGTAAATAAATTCATTCTTTTATATAAATAAAATTATATTATACAAATTTTTTTCGTTTAAATTGTGTAATTATATATTTTTATTTTTAACTTTAAATAAATATTTTAACTATAATAAATTTTTTATAAATAGATTAGGATAAATTCAAATGGATTTTAAATTAAGGATAAATTTGTTAAAGTTTAAATAATCTTTTAAATTTTCAAATTTAAATTATTATTTAAATATATTTGTATATTTTTATTTTAAATAAATATTTTTAATTATAATAAACTTTTTATAAATAAATTAGAATAGTTTCAAATGGATTTTAAATTAAGTATAAATTGTTAAAGTTTAAATAATCTGCTAAATTTTTAGATTCAGATTATTATTTAGACATATTTATATATTTTATTTTTAATTTCAAATAAATATTTTTAATTATAATAAATTTTTTATAAATAAATTAGAATAATAGACTTTATTATCTAATTTTAAGGTTACTTTATTTTTAACTTTAGCTGAAATTATAATTTTAGACAGAATTAAATAGTAAATTCAGATAGTCAGGTAGATTTCTAATTAAAGATAAATTTGTTAAAGTTTAAATAATCTGCTAAATTTTCAAATTCAGATTATTATTTAGATTTAACTAAGATAATTTAAATTGAATCCAGATGGCTTTTTAAATATAGAATCAATTACTATTATGCAATTTTTTTAGTATTCAGTAGTTTATTTTAAAATTAAACTTTTTTTTGGGGGTTTGTTTTTTATCGCCATGGCGATGCATCGCCAGTGTCACGTGATTTTATAATTCCGGCCAGAATTAAAAGATCATCAAAGAAATTTCCTTTTTTTGGAAGTTTGTGTAACAAAAACTTAAATTTTGCTAAAAAATAGAATTGCCTTTTTTGGATTGTGTAACGTTACCTAAATCTCCAAAAAAGGATATTTTGGCCAGCGTTATAAAATTTGGCTGAAATTAAGCATGTGATGTATAGGGAGTGACAAATAGTATTTTTTGCATTGAAAAAATTCTAAGTCCCCAGAATAAATAATAAAAATGGAAAACTAGAGGATGTGACGCGGGGTGACAAATTATTCACATATGTAAAGTCACGTGATACTTGCGACACATCGCTATGGCGATTTTTTATAAAATCCTTTTTTTTTGTTTATAGCTTTCATTTAACTTTATAATTTAAAAAAGGATTTTATAAAAAATCGCCATAGCGATGTGTCGCAAGTATCACGTGACTTTACATATGTGAATAATTTGTCACCCCGCGTCACATCCTCTAGTTTTCCATTTTTATTATTTATTCTGGGGACTTAGAATTTTTTCAATGCAAAAAATACTATTTGTCACTCCCTATACATCACATGCTTAATTTCAGCCAAATTTTATAACGCTGGCCAAAATATCCTTTTTTGGAGATTTAGGTAACGTTACACAATCCAAAAAAAGGCAATTCTATTTTTTTAGCAAAATTTAAGTTTTTGTTACACAAACTTCCAAAAAAGGAAATTTCTTTGATGATCTTTTAATTCCGGCCGGAATTATAAAATCACGTGACACTGGCGATGCATCGCCATGGCGATAAAAAACAAAACCCTTTAAAAAAAAAGTTTATTATTAAAATTAGACTATTAAATACTAAAATATTTGCAAAAAAATAAATTTTTTAAATTTTAACAAAAAAGTAAATTTGGCTAAAAGTCTATATATTAAATATGTATCTGGAATTCTTAATAAAATTTAATTAAAAATAGGGATTATTAAATTATATAATTATATAAAATTATAGTAAAAATTATTAAATTGAACTTTATAAAAGTAGTTACTAATAAGTTTAAATAAAAACTACTTAAAATAGTAATATTTATAATAATATAAATTTTATAGAATTTTATATTTAACTAGCTACCATTTTATACTTCTATATTTTCTGAAAAAACTAAATATTAAATTAAAAGACCATTCAATAGTCCTTTTGTTCTTTTAGTTCTTTTATATATCTATTTCATTTTTTTTCATTTTTTAATTTATATTTCTTTTTGTTTAGCTTGTTCTCTTATTTTTTTTGTTAGTTTTTCTATTTCTTCTGTTAGAATTTTTATTTGCTTTTTTTATCTTTACTTTTTCCTTCACTAGTATTCAGATAAATGGAAATTAATGTATTGATTTTATTAGGGTTTTTATTAAAATGGTTAACTAATCTAGTAAAAGATAAAGTACAAATTCCAAAAGCTATTTTTGTAGTAATAGAACTGGTGCTAATTAAATATCCAGATACAATAGCTGGATAAACAATTAATAATATTATATTGATATATTTAAAACATTAGAGATTGTAATAAAATAATTGACAGTATTTTTATATTTTTTTACCAAAGTATTTTTGTAACGTTTACATAAAAATATGATATCAACCATATGTAAAGTATTGACTACAATTTCATAAATATATATTATCCTATTTGCTAGCCTCAGACTGTTGCATTTGTTAACTCCAAAGTTTTTAATGCAATAATTACTCATGTAACTATAAACCTTGTTAGCATTATTATTGAAATCACCATGGATAAAGACATCATATCCAGTATATGATAAATAGTAAGCACTATAATGAAGTAGCAAGCTAACATTTCACTTTTTAAAATATTTTTATATATTTTATAACTGTTTTAAATAAATTTTTTATGCTCATTTTGAAATTTCCTTTCCTTTCATTTTTGTTGTTATCATTTTCATCATCCATATTTATACTTGTTTCATCATTTCCTCTCTCATCTATTTTTTTTTCTTCCATGTTTTCATTGTTTCCTCTTTCATTCTTTTCATTCCCTTTATTTTTATTGTTTCATTTTCTTTAACTTCATTTTGTATTAAAACTATAAGAAAAGGGTATAAAAAATTAGTAAGTTGCAATAACTCTTTTTTTGTAATCACTGCTATAATATTGATACCATTCAATTGCTGTAATTAAAGGATATACAGCAATAGATGCAAATATAACAAAATCACCAAATATATTTATCACAGATAATGTCTTCTTTTACTATCTTCAAAACCATTAAACAGACCAACTATCAATACTGGAAGTAATCCGGTAAGAATTGAATTAATTGTTTCTTCAGTTGGATTATAAGTTGATGACATTTTGTAAATAATCACGAATTGACTGAAAAAAATGTCACGAAATGGCCAGCATTAACTTGACTGAAATTAAGTGTGGTGCACATGTGACGAATAATGTGTGACGAATAGATTTTTACCTACTCGAAAAAAACTAAGTCCCTCAGATACTTATAGAAAATGGAAACGCGGTGGGGTGTGACGTATGGCACGCCAGACTGGACAGATGTTTAAACGTAAAAGCTAAATCATTTGACGTTAACACCATATCATTTGACTTTGGAGTACAAAGCATTTGGCGTTAAATATAAACCATTTGTCATTAATTCCAAAGCATTTGTCATTAATTCCCAAAGCATTTGCCATTAATTCCAAAGTATTTGCAAATCTATAAACAAATTTCCTATAAAGGAAATAGGATTTCACGAGACTTTTAAAAAGAAAATTATTACTTAAATTGCACCATTTGAATTTTAACCAAATATGGAAAATTATTTTCATATCTCTGACAGTATTGGCAAAGAATTTAACTATAAAGTCAAACAGTTTGTTGGTACAGCAAATCATTTGAATTTCGCAGTTAACCTTAAACGTCAAATGATTTAGCTTTTACGTTTAAACATCTGTCTAGTCAACCGTGCCATAGTGACAGTTGTGACAAAAAAAGTCACATGATTTTTCGGGACATTTTTTTCAGGTTACGCTGGAAAGTCATAAAAACGTGGCAAAAAATATTCTAACATTTCTTTTAGCTTCGCCCTCGTTAATAAAACAAAGATGATTGCGACTCAAAATAATTATTGACAACAAAATCTCTCATTTTCACATTAATTTTAAAGTGGCTCTGCTCTTCAATTGTAAATTTAATAAGGCGCAAAACGTGGCAAAAGTACTTCGCCTTCATTGATAATAATATGAAAAAAAAATGTGTGTTACTATGGAAAAATTTTCTTATAAACACTTTGAAAATGAGGAGAGAAAATGTCTTATTGTTATAAAAACAAATTAACAACGAAATAAGAATTTTATATAACATACTGAACACAAAATCAATCATGCAATTAAATACTTATTGCTTTAGCGGGTAAACAATTATCAAACGAATTCTTTTAATAATGATTCACGTGACGCAGACGCAGCACCATATGCGACAGAATTGCAAAGAAAAAAGTTCAAAGGACCTGTTCATTATAAACGTGACGCAGACGCAGAAGCATTGAAAGCCTGGCAAAGAAAAAAGATCGCAGAAAATAGATATTAGCTAGCCAAGTAACTACACATTAAAAAGTTGATAATTTCAGAGCTTATTAAGAAAACGCCTTAATTACACCAGATTTATGCGGACATACCGTAAACGATTGACTAAAATACCCGGGTATTATACAAATTTCGGGGATTAACCTTGTATTACCATGTTTATTACTCGAATTTTTGCTATAAATATAATGTATTTAAAACTTTATAATAATCAGAAAAATATTTACATGCAATGCCAGAAAAAATTATATTATTTAAATAATGAAATTTGATAGAAAATGAACCTTTTGTCTGGGTAAAAGAAGGGGGTACTATACAGTATACATTGGGGGCTATAGTCAACCGTTTATGGTAGTTTAAAATTAATTTTATTGGCTATTAATTGTTGTTGTACCACCGAAGAATTAATAAATACCTCGTGAATGCAATCTGGAGTAACGATAAAATCGTATGAATCACTTTTTCGCTTGCCGATAAACTAATTTTATAAACTTTTTTTTTTACTATGTTTATGTAGTTTATATCATTATCTTATTTTGTGTCACTAATTAAGAGTTTATAAGGAGTATTTTATCCCGTGAATGCAATCTGAGTAACGATAAAATCGTATGAATCACTTTTTCGCTTGCCGATAAACTAATTTTATAAACTTTTTTTTTTTACTATGTTATATCATTATTTCATATTTTGTGTCACCAATTAAGAGTTTATAAGGAGCATTTTATAGAATTCGTCAAAAGTTACTCATTTTGACATTCACATAATTTGTATTTCTAAATATGTTGAAAAATATCATTCATAAAAAGGATAAAAAGACTGGTTTGTAATTTCCTGATTATGTTTAACATATCAACTTGACCTATCAGAAATGACTAACTTATCTGGAACTAAAGATGCGAACATCTATAACGAAATTGCTCGTCTCAACCTTGCCCAAAGACCAAAAATCTACCTATTTTCATATTTTACTATAAATGAGAAATCTAAGTCTAGCGCCGAGACTGCTCTTTCCTTCTGTGAAAATGACGAAGAAAAACTTGCATACCTTAATAACATCTTAAGTTGTACGTTTCTCATTTCTAATCATGGTTTTGTTCTTTTATATATTCTAACGGTATTATCGTGCTAACTCAACAACGTAGTAATTGAGAGTTCTGTTCACTCTACAGTCAATGGTTTGTAATTTTTAGTGATATACTGATATTTTTTTAATGAAATACCAAGTATGCTGATATTACTAACCTTCTTACAGGTGATGAAATGTCTAGTACTAGTACTGAGGCTGAGGAGATGAAGTTTAATGATGCAGTTCTTAAAAAATTTGTTCAGAAACTGAACCTCAAGCAACTTGAGCAATTTGAGCCATTAAAAGACAAAGATATAAAGAAATTCTATGGTACATAATAAATCTGTTTCAGTTTGATTTATATATATAAATTATATGTATCTTTATTATCACTTCACAGATTTTGCTGGGCCCGATTTCACTTGGCCTTCTACAAGTGATATCAATGAGCGCCGTGCCATATACGACTATATCACCGATCCTGATCCCCGTTTTCAAGAAGGTCAAGGGGAAGAAATTGCAATTAACAGGCTTGCATACCGTCGCCTTATTGAGACTGGAAGTTTGGATTCATCTAAAGGAAAATATGTTCATATTGAACATGGAAAATTAGTAGGTTATGGGTCCGAGTTATCAGAAGAGGAATATATGGAGTTAATAAAAAAAAATCCTGGTATGGTATACTCTCTGATTGAGCAAGAAGCGGTTAGAATAAGATTTTCCTCTACTGCAAATAAAAAGGAATGGCAGGTATGTGTTTCTTTTTACATGTGAATATTATATTGGGATTGTTGGGAACTTTTTTTGCCATCATATCAGGTAAATATGCGAATTCGGAAAAAAGTTGACCGTAACGACATTGCGATAATTAAGAATGTTGAACGTGACGACATGAACAATATAGATTTTCGTCTCATATTGGATTCGGGGGCAGAAATAACCGTTATACCATTTTTTATAAGAACGAAGATGACATACGATTATGGTTGGAACACAATCCCAACCAGATTTAATGGTTATGGTTCGAATTTAGATATTTTTAAGGTTTCTATTCCTTGGGAGATCTCATTAGGCGATGGGAGTAACTGGACGGAATGGATAGAAACTAGAGAATTATATTGCTGGCAATATAAAATTCCCAACAACGCCGTTGATTGTGGTTTAGTAGGATTCGATATATTAAATGCTTTATATCAAATTAAAATTCCAGGGAGGCCGTATATCTTTGTAACGCAACATGACGGTATGAACCAGTTGCAACAAATTTATAACAACCATTGACAATAGATAGCTTAGGATAAAATTAGGGTTGTAAAATTATAGTATCTTAAAAAATTATGTACAGTAAGTTATATGTAAATTACATTGGGAGGTTTCGGAAATAATATCAGAATAATTAGGAAATAATATTTTTCAGTAAGTAAAATTATAACATAGTGATTCCAATTTCTAAAATTAATGATTAATTTTAAAAAATATGATTATAAAAATGTAATTTCTTGAGAAAATAAATAAAGTTGATAAATTGTTTTATTTCATGCGTTAATTGGGAAAGTTTGATCACATAATATGACCATATTATAATATAAGTTGTAAGTTACAAGGGTTGATGCACTTACATTGTAATTTACATGTATCGTAACCTATGTAACGTAACTCTCACAACCCTAGATAAAATTAAGAATTAGAGATTTATGATTTATGTACAGTGCTCATACAAATAAAATGCTTTTATTTTTTATTATTTGTCAAGAAAAATTTTTTATTAATATATGCAAACATAAATACAAAGTTCGAGACGTAGCCCGCGATACATATTATTTTTTATTTTTTGATAATTTTTTTGATCCTAGCCCTCTTGCTAGCTGGGGAACTATCTACACTAACCCGATCCTTCAATAACCCTACAATTGTGCCGATTACCCTTTTCACGTTGCTTCGAAGTAATTCGGGATTATCTTTAACTGCGGATTTTGTGAGATTAATTTGTATTCGCTTCCACTCGTAGAGTATATACCATCAGGAGTATATATGATAAAATGCCACTCCGTACCTGTGGTCACAATACCATGAAATAGTCATTCCCAAACGCTTGATCCGCGGTTCGTTTTTTCTTATTTGTTTAGAATGCACTTTCAAGTTGCGCCAGATTCTAAAGAAAAAATAAAATGCTATTAATACTATTGAATCTTCTATAAAGCACGAACGGACAGTAAATTTACCTGCGCATATCCAATCTTAATATTACGAGGCTTTCCTTCAGTGATACATAGGAGGTCTTCTAAACTTTGATTGCGTAGTCTACTCGGCCTGTTGCATCTTCACCAGATATATCTTTTTGTAAAACTATGAATATATCTTGAGAGGTGAGTTTTTTAGCTATAGCGATAGATGTATGAAGAATCAATGAAATAAATTCACAGCGTGTCGCTTCGTTAGCGTCGGTCATGGTTTCCACACGAAAGTTTTAAGATAATATCCTCCATACAGTGATTGAGCGCCTTATCATCATCATTAATTTCCGGGAGAAAAAAAAATAAGGTTAGTATAGCTATCTAGTCAGTTCTGAAAAGTTGATTAATCACCCACCAGGAGTAAATTGCTTGATACTCGTTATATCTTCCCCATTGACCTTATTTCTACGTAACATTTTCTTCAAGTCGTCAAGAGTTTTAAGTGAGGAATAGTTTCGTAATTTCTGGCTAAGGCTTTCGATAAATTCTACAAGAACAGTTGAAGGCCCTCCTTTCATACCATATCGCTCAAGTTTTTCTTCTTGTTAATTAAGAAAGGAACGACCGGAAATTTTCTCTTTACGAAGAATTTTAATATCATCTTCATCGAGTTTCAAGTCTTTCCTTTCCAAATAATCGATAAGCTCCTCTGTATTAAAATCCTTAACCACGTCTGACATTGTTCGAGAAGAAATTTCTTCCGTTATTGAGGCAGGTGAAGCGGGTAAAGAAGACATGGTTTTTATATGTGTGTGTTTGTGCTTGTGAAAAAAAATATGCACTAGACTGCAGTTACAGTTTATGGATAAAAAAGTATTTTGGTTTCGGCGCTTGGAGAGAAATGATAGATTTTTTTTGTATCGATTCATATGTAGTACAGAATTGTCAGCGACAAAATTACACGTGACATTTATCAAGTTTTACGACAAGAGCGTAATATATGCTTTATTTAAGAAATAAAAAAACGTTGCCGGAACCGGCTTACAATACACAAAAATTGGCCGAAGGCGCTATGCACTATTACATGTTACGAATGAAAAATTCTAACTACTGGGGGTATTTGAGGATGAGACCATCTTCAATGTGATCGATATTAAAATGCTTAGAAATCATATCATCTTGTTACAACGCTTTTGCCGGCCCTTTTGGGTTATCCACGTAAAGTTTAATGTCAGAAACCTGCTTATATCGCGTTGGCATTTCTTTTTTAATAGTGGGTATGGCATCTTTGACCGATGTTTGCCAGGCTATTGGTTGTTCTTTTGATAGGATTTTGAATTGAGTCTGGAGGAGAATGAATAGCAGGAAGATTCTGAATTTCTGCATTAGGTTAGATTGCGAGAGAACACTAGACCACCAACGGACTTGTAATCACGACCAACTAATATTGATCACATTGCTCATCACGGGTATAAAAGTCTTATTGATATTACAAAAAAGACATTTCCTATTGCTAATAAAACCAAAGAAGAATCCTTAGTTCCTTTTGCATTTTTCACATGTAATTTAGTTTGATCATACATTTGATGTGAATAGCAAAGCCAAATCATTTACCTTACGAACTATTTCACTATCAATTTCCCAAGTTCTAAAAATATTTTTTATACAACGTAAATTCTGTGAACTTCCACAAGAACGAATTTCACCATTAAAATTATCTATTAAAATACTAGTAGTAAATTTAGTTGACTTTGTTTGCTCAATTAATTGTATTACATTAGTAATTGCTATCTAATTCTAATATATAATCATCTATATTATCACTAATAGTTGAAAAATAATGGGCTGATTGAAAAGCATTTAAAAATTAGGATTATTTGTATATTTTTCGCAAATACTTATTAATATTATTTAAAATAACATACTGTTCATTGTCTGTACTTTTAAAGACAAACCCATATTCTTCTTCCATAAAACTAACGTCGTCATAATCATGAGGTCAGGTTTGTTTATAGTTCTCCATTAAGTTCAAATTTAACACAACTTTATAAGGAGATTCTTATTAATAAACAACCCTTGGAAAATTATATCAGCGTGTTAGTTAGAACTTGGAGAGTGAGAAAAAAAATATTTTGCGCATATTGATTGGATAAAAATTAATAAATCATAGTAAACTGAAAAGTGATCGAGTAACACCCCTTGTATTTATCTAGGGGTTAGATAAATAAACGGGGTGCGAAGATTCAGAGAATTGTTACACAAACTAAAAGCATATTAAAATGCACAAAATTTTCACTTTTTTTTAATTATTTTGACGCGCGTACATAGAAAGGCAGCCGATCCACAAGTTTAGTTTATTCATACTAGCTCTATATAGGCGAAGTGTTTTTATTTAAATTGGGGCACTGTAGCTTTTGATCCCGCTCATAAACAACTTCTTTACAGAAACTTCAAGATCGTAGCGATGGCTTAATGCACAGTAACTGCATTATAAATACATAGTGACCACATTATGTAATTGTAAAGAAATTACATATATGCAGTTACTGTGCATTAAGCCATCGCTATGATCTTGAAGTTTCTGTTGTTCTGTCTTAAGATGAGTACAAATGGTTTCAAATTCAGAATGTGATTTTGTTGTATTGTCATTTTGGTTAATTTATAAATGATCCATCCCACAATGTAAGAGAATTTCAAAGTTTCTTCTGGTTTTAGAACAATAATTTCTTTAGGCATAAAATGATTACTTGCTGAGAGATGACTTTGTGAACCATTTAATAGTGTTGCTTTACTAAATGTTATTTTAATTACTCTTTAAGTTGGTTGCATCAAGAAAGTCTTGATACTACTAACTTCCTGAGTATTGATAGTTATTGAGACAAATTTCAAGGTGAAAACTCCAATTGGCTAACCATTGAACTCCTGTTTTTTTTGGATCATCTTTACTGGCCATTTTTTAATAATATCTTGCCATTTTTGTATGGCACAAACAGTTTAAAGCCACCACTTTTTATCATGTGATTTCTTCTTTTTTTTTTTTTTGCAAGGTAATGCAATTTGTGAGTTTATTAATTATATAAAATACAGAAAATTCTGTTACATGTATAATTAATTTGTTTAAAACTCCAAACCGGTCCTCTATCCATAAAATTGCTCTTATGTCCTACCATCACAGGATCCTGAAAACTCTATAGACAGGTTACTGTTAAAATGGGTAAAGCTATAAGGAAAATTTTTTGAAGATCTTGCTATATTTAGTTAAATTAAATACATAAAATGAATGTCACACCAATTTTATTATAAATTTTTTTCTTTTTTGATCAGTTAGCCAATAGGATTCTGGGTAAAGTTCATATAAAATTTTTGGTTTTTTAAAACAACCTTTATATATAGTTTTTGGGATTCTATCATCATCCTATGAAATTCACCTATATCCTCCTATAGTAAGTAGTAACTATCGGATTATATAGGATTATCATAATTACATGGTTTTAGTAAATACTTTCACTACCCTTCAAATAAAAGGAAGTATTATATTTGTATTTATATAATTTGATATTATTATATACCTTTTAAATTACCATATTTCCTTTTTTAACAAATTGATTTATATATTGTCTTATTTTTTCTAAAATAACTGACTACTATTCATTATGCTTGAAAATTCTTCTTCTTTTCAGATCATATGTACTTGCTAGGTTAGAATTCTTTCATATGCAACTTTACTAAAAATGGCCAATTTTTTGAAATATTTTTATAGACCTAGATACAATAGCTTTCAAAACAATTGTGCAATTATTTTGTAAAATTTTTAAAATATATCAAAACATATTTAATTCGTGATTCGTGTAACAATCAGAGAAAATTACTATTCAAATTTGGGGAAAGAAAATAAAAACGTTTTTTGCGATTATCTTGTGATTCAGTGATTCAATCTCAACAAAAGTTTTATGTCGTGTAGCTCTCTACGCCTTCTATAAAATAAAAAAAATCGTCAAAATTGGACCAATAGAATGTGAGATAATTGCAAAATTAATTTTTCCCAGGGTATATCGGATTCCAAATTTTGAATCCGACATGCTCCAGAAAAAATTGATTTTGCGATTATCTCACATTCTATTGGTCCAATTTCGACGATTTTTTTTATTTTATAGAAGGCGTAGAGAGCTACACGACAAAAAAATGTTCATCGAAATTGAATCACTGTAAAATGATATAATCGCAAATAACTTTTTATTTTTTCCCCCTAAATTGAATAGTAATTTCATAAATTTTCTTTGATTGTTATGCGAATCACGAATTAAGGTATTTTTGAAATTAAAAATTAAAACAATATCAAAGTTAATTATATTATAATAATAAAATAACTATAATAAAAGTATTAAAATATTATTGTAATATTATTTTAAATTATTTTTATAGACCTACACAGGTCGAAATGCTAAAAATTAGCAAAAAAAATGGCGTGAAATTAAAATCTGTTATGTAAATAAAGAAATTTCTATTTCATAAATATAATTGTTGTATATCCTTTTGGTTTAGTTGAAGATATTTTTTTGATAAGAAAAGTCTTTAAGTATTTATTTATATTTATATATAGTATTATTGGTCACTATTAACCATTTATTTTTAAATTTCTGACAATAAATTATATAATTATCATAATCTGTACTTTACATTTTCATATAAATCATATTTTCTTTTTTTCATAATTTTCAAAGCTGGTAATAAATTGTTTATAAATTTCAAGTATTTAATGAAATTGTTATTTACTAATATTATTATACAGTTAAATTCTATATTCTTTTTAAATAATACCTAAGTAACTTTCTTTTCTATTATATATGTGTGTCACAACTTGAAAAATTGTTTTATGTGTACGATTAAAAGACTATGATATCTTTAATGCAAATTTACATAAACTATTTATAAATTTTTTGATATGTTTATCCACCTTTTTACCATTCTAATATAAATCATATTTTAAGTTCTTTTGTTGTGAATTATTAATTATGATGCAGATTAAGTTTTCTGTATCATTCTTAGTCATTCTATCTGCTTCTTCATTACCTTTAATTCCTAAGTGCCCTTTGATTTTTATTAGCTTTATTTCTAAATGTTTGCTATTAATAAAATTAATTATACTACTAATTATGCTATAATTGTTGCTTTTACACTATAACCCTAGATATCATACTTAACTATGTGATAAACAATATGTCAAAAAAAAAATATGGATAAATAATATATCAGATGAATGATTAACTGAAGAATTACATGATAAGAAATTACATAACAAGAATACTAAAAAATCACATGACATAAATCATGTGATATGGATAAATAATATACCAAATGGTCACATGATATAGTCACATAATATGATAATAGATTACATGATATGATGTAATATCTATAATATAATATCTATTTATAAATTAAAGAAGTGAGAAATAAGAAATAGATCAGAAAAATATCAAATTAAAAGAATAATAGATTAGAAAGATAGTAAATTAAAAGAACAAAATTTAAAGCTTTAATTAATCAAAAAAATAAACATTTAGAAAATAGAATGATTTACATGATGTAATATTTATTGAATGATTAATGAAGATCAAATAGATTAATTAGGAAGTCAATCAATTATGACATGATAACCAGTTTATTGGGCTCATCAATAGGAATAAATTCTGATATAATAACCAGTTTATCAAGTTTATTAATAAGAGAGGTAATTATGAATTATAAAAGATAAATTATAAGTTGAAAATAATTGATAATTATTAGATTATTTCTT